GAAAAAACTTCCAAGTATTTTTATCCTGTAGAAATTTTTTAATTGCGCAAAACGGGTTCCATTGGGGCACACATTTTGACGTATCGCGTTTACGTCACCATGCGGACACATATTTTGTTACTTTCCCTTTTTTCTGCAGTAGAGGTGAGCAAGTGTCAAAAATGCAAAAATACACATTTGCTCAGCGCATCTGCTCTGTAATATTGAGAGTAATGGAAGTCAGTGAGGCAAATATAGTAGGGGTGTGAGTCCTGAAACTTGCATAGCTATGTCCTGGCTAATTGGCCAGCTCCGGAGCAGAAATTTCGCTACACTTTTACACTGTGTGCTAGGAGCTTGATGATCTGTGCATTACTTTGAAACTGTCGCGGAATTTCTGCGAAATGCTAGCAGTAGTCAAGGAATTTGCCTTAATAAAAATGCATAACCTGAGAATTACTTGCATACAACATATCTTTAATGACTTGTAGTGGACTATCGACACAATTTGAAGATTTCGAAGATTATACGACTTAATGGACCGGAATATTCCCTTTCAGCGATTTTCTTCTGCTTTTAGTTTAGTTTTGAGTTTCCATCCTTTGTTTAGTATGGAATTCTATTATGACAGTAGTATGGATTTCTATTATGACTTTCTGTAGAATAGTGCAATCGGCATGGTCCCCGTTTACTAGGTATCTATTTTGGAAATACTGCCATTCATTCCGGTTTTATTCATGACAATTATTATTACAGTTATTTTTATTGTCACTATCCATTACTGCCTCATTATTGTTATTGTTATTATTATTATTGTAATTACTATTATTATTATTACGAATAGTGAAAACGAAGACCAATTTGTTACCCATCCGGTCCACATATTCCAGAAAAAAAAGCTTGGTAATCGGCAACAGCAAAATCGCGCTCGTGCAACTTCTTTATTTTTGTTACAATGTCTTAAATTGCTTTTTTCATTTCCGGTTTTCTTGTGCCTTCTCAGCATTAGCATGTACATGTGCATACAGTAGAAACGAGATGAAATCTATGTTTTCTTTGAAAAGGCTGTTGAAATACGTTGGAAAAAAAAAAAAACAGTGCAGGCAGTGAAGCAACGGCTGAGAAATTGTGAGCTGCAGTAGAAAAGGAAGGAACGAGGACGGAGCATTGGCGAAACGATGCAGAAATGATCGAAAGCTGGATACTAGGTAAAATAGGCGGCAGTTCGAGCTTGGGATCATTCTCCTGAACGGCTTTTGCTGCCTTAATATCCTGGAGCTGTCCTGGGCGGTGGGCAGTGGTCGCAGCTGCCTTTTGGTCCTTCGGGGCCAGCCTCGCCTTGGTCTCCATTCGCGCCATCCTGGCCTGGTGCACCATCTTTGCCAGGTTCGCCCGGCGGGCCACGCGGTCCCTGTCGTCCAGGTTGGCCGTCTCTTCCTGGTGCACCTGGTTCGCCTGGTGGTCCTTGTGGTCCTGGTGGTCCCGGCGGTCCTGGTGGTCCAGGTACCTGGAATTTTAGCAGTTGTTAGATGAAGAGAAAGGACTAAACATCGTAGCAAGATGAATGATTGATGCATAAAACGCCTTTATAGATTAGCATCAAACATTAGAGATGATAAAACAAACCTCGACTTGAACGCCTGGTTTTCCTGGCTCTCCTGCTGGGCCTGGATTTCCTCGGGCTCCATTGGGTCCTTTCGGTCCTTGTGGTCCAGGCGCACCCGGCTCTCCTGCTTGTCCGTTTGGT